ATGTTTTTATTTTAATATATTTCTATCTTCTAGAGTAACGTAATAATAAAGTGTACAAGAGGAACGATGCTGCACCGTACTCAGCTCTAAAGATATACTAGAAAGAGTACTAGAAAGGGTGACGTTACCGCCTATGTTCACACATTTACTTATATACGACACAAGGAGGACGCATATTTGCTCACTTCAATGCATAATACTGAAAGTAAGCCCTGAAAGAGTGAGTTAAATATTCACGTCACGTCGGCAATATTTCAGCCATAGTGTGACTTGAACAAGTTGTACAAACCCATGCTGGATCGGGTGGTGAGGATCAGTGACTTTGTTGATGCATGTCATCATATCCCAATTGCGCAGATCGATGTTCATGATGTCAATCATTATATTGTCTTGTCCAGACTCGATTATTTACAGACTGCCCTCACATAGCTGGAATATTACGTTTAACATAAAACAAACCCAAAACAACCAAAACTAATATTTTCATAAAAGTATATAACATTATTTCTCGGCAAAGCCTTGTGGTATAAAGCCAATAATCCGCTGTCGAGAGTTGCATCCCTTCGCCGTGCTATGATCTGCTGATTGTGAATTCGAATCACAGATTCGCCAAGATATAAATCCTTGTATCGATCTGTCAGGCACAGACCCATGGATATTGACATTGAAACAAACGCTGATTTTAAGCTAAAATCCCCTTACCCCTCTTATTTACAAGGAAATAAGTGAATATGAACGCCGACATTTCTGTCTTTCAAGCTCTGACACTTGTGCTGTGTCGCCAGGGTTGAGTGATGGCTGGTGAGTAATACAGGGATGTCTGACTCAAGCAAACTTGACAAACCGAATTAAAGTCAGACTTGTTCTGTCTTGACAGTAATCTGCAGTCAAACATAACCTGGAGGTTGATTTATAGCCTGATTGGCCAATGAGAACCGCCTTCTGGCATAGGACTCTAGGCAGATTTTTAAAATATTCAAACATGTGATGTTTTCCCATAATTACTATGATGAATATCAGCATTTATTCAAAATTGAAATTTACCATGCTCAGGGCATGGCGCAACCAACCGATTGATAGAACCGGGCCCATTCTAACACCCGTCCAGGTGAAGTTAGGGTCCAAGTGGTGTGTTGGGCAAAGGAACCGTCCTCTTGGAACCAGTGCCAGACTACCTTCTTCCACCGATAGAGGGGCGCAACCCACGGCAAACGGATTGCCCAAGTTTGACGCTTTTTACGACAAGCAGTAGGGTGCTGGGGACACATTCTACCACGGGTCCCCTCGAGGCAGCACTGAAAGATATCATTATTATGTTAAATATATTCTTCACTTTGTTTCTTAAGGTTTGACACATGGATTACATTCTTCTCATTCCGGGTAGGAATATAGGTCCCTCACAATCTGTGATTGTCATATAAATCGCCTAATTGATCGGGCAGTCAGATTCAGTGACTTGGATGATTGCATATCATTGTATCCAAACTGCGTCGATCGATGCTCTGGATTCTCTGATCCATATTATATTATTTACAGAAATATATGCGCTGAAGAACAAACAAACATTTTAGTATTCATAAGAAATGTCCACCAAAATTGCACAATTCCAACCATATCATGAGGAAGCGTCGATTAATCACCATCAATAGGTGATGATACCAGGTGGTCGCGAAAAGGTGAGCGTATCCTGCCCCACCTGTGGCACCGTCACAAACTGAAGCAAATGCAAGACTTAAAGTTCACTTATTCTTTATTCAGTACAGAAGGAGGCCATCGACCCACGGTACATTGTATAGTACAGTACACAGCTCAGTCCGATCATACATCATGACACTGTCTAGACTTTCAGATCATAATAACAGTTTTCAAACATTCATTCCGTGGTAAATAAAGGTAGTAAAATGTCTTGAAATTTTTTCATTTGAAGTAAATGTTTCCAGGATGGACATGTCGCAGGGCGTGGAGTCATCCCACAGATGACATCCTAACCTTGTCAGCTTGCTGACGGGGTTAACCTCTTTGGTCATGTGGACAAGGCGTCCGACTTCTGATCAGAAATCGGACATTTTATGGCCGCTAAATTTACTTCCCTGTCAACAGAATGCACGTCCCGGGCCGAATAGATAGGGTACTGAGACTTATTTTGCTCAAATTTAATATGAAAGTGCTCAGCCCCACGTTGGGTGCCAATGTAGCTGCCATAAAATTTCCGAGTGCCGTGATGTGATTCGAAGCACGGACCTTCTGATCAGAAGTCGGACGCCTCGTCCACATGACCAAAGAGGTTAACCCCGTCAGCAAGCTAACAAGGTACGGATGTCATCAGTGGGATGACTCAACGCCCTGCTACACACAGAATATTTCTGGAACTCATTGGCTGAGATCATGTTAGACATTACAGATGAGCAAAACAGGGTACTCCGTCTCTACATAGCCTTGATTTCATACCTTGCACAGTCTTTGCTGTCTAGGTACATGTACATATCTACCTGTTTCAAGAAATAACTGATGTGAGCTACAGCGGAACTGTGTAATAGCATACCTGAATTTACTTATTCTTACTGCAAGGCTCAACAGAAAATTGATTCTTGAACGATGAATAAAGAAACATATTAGTACTACCACACAACTGAGCATGCCAGTCCTGTTGATATTTGTTTGTTTGTTTCTTGTTTAACGCGGCTCTCAGCAATATTCCAGCTATATGACGGTGATCTGTAAATAATCGAGTCTGGACCAGACAATCAAGTGATTGACATCATGAGCAACGATCCACGCAATTGGGATACGATGACATGCATCAACCAAGTCAATGAGCCTGACCACCCGATCCCGTTAGTCGCCTAAGACAAGCATAGTCGCCTTTCACGGCAAGCACGGGTTGCTGAAGACCTATTCTATTCCGGATCTTCCTGTTGATGGGTAGTATTTAATCTATAAATAAATTCTGATATATTTCTTTACTGTTCTTGACTCGAGTCTCTGGTTTTCTCAAATATCCAAATCCATATTTTTAAAGATGAGACTTTATCTTTGACTTGATCAGTTTTTTTTTCCATTATGCCTGATATATCTTTTCATAACTTTTATGGATACTGTGAATCTGAATTTGTTATTACTTCACGCCAATATTTGATACAACGTTTAAACGCTAATATATAATATAGATATCTACCACATTCTCCAAGTGCGACATGATTCGGCGTGAGAATTTGATTGCTAGGGATCTTCTACATCAAGTATGTGTTCAGCTTCTATTTCTTTAATTTCATCCATACCCCATTTGTTTTTGAAAATAGTGTATACGGAAGAGGTTTATATCCTAAAGTGATTTCATGATGGAAAACAGATGGAATGTTACACTATAATAGTTTTGACCAAGATAAATTATTTGCAAAACATGCACCAAAATGGATAAATGATGACACCCATTCATTTAGGTGAGGATCATACTTTATTAAAGACAACTTTCGTGTTTTCTAGGTTTACTGAATGTGGCGAGTATTTACATTTCGGCTCTGCATGCAATGTGGTGAGTGTCTACATTTCGGGCCTGCATGCAATGTGGCGAGTGTCTACATTTCGGCCCTGCATGCAATTTTGTGAGTGTCTACATTTCGGCACTGCATGCAATGTGGTGAGTGTCGACATTTCGGCTCTGCATGCAATGTGGTGAGTGTCTAAATTTCGGCACTGCATGCAATGTGGTGAGTGTCGACATTTCGGCACTGCATGCAATGTGGTGAGTGTCTACATTTCGTCCCTGCATGCAATGTTGTGAGTGTCTACATTTCGGCACTGCATGCAATGTGGCGAGTGTCTACATTTCGGCACTGCATGCAATGTGGCGAGTGGCGACATTTCGGCACTGCATGCAATGTGGTGAGTGTCATTTCAGCACTGCATGCAATGTGGTGAGTGTCATTTCGGCACTGCATACAATGTGATGAGTGTCTACATTTCGGCACTGCATACAATGTGGCGAGTGTCTACATTTCGGCACTGCATGCAATGTGGTGAGTGTCTACATTTCGGCCCTGCATGCAATGTGGTGAGTGTCTAGATTTCGGCTCTGCGTGCAATGTGGTGACTGTCTACATTTCGGCACTGCATGCAATGTGGTGAGTGTCTACATTTCGGCACTGCTTGCAATGTGGTGAGTGGCGACATTTCGGCACTACATGCAATGTGGTGAGTGTCGACATTTCGTCCCTGCATGCAATGTAGTGAGTGTCGACATTTCGGCACTGCATGCAATGTGGCGAGTGGCGACATTTCGGCCCTGCATGCAATGTGGTGAGTGTCTACATTTCGGCCCTGCATGCAATGTGGTAAGTGTCTACATTTAGGCACTGCATGCAATGTGGTGAGTGTCTACATTTCGGCTCTGCATGTAATGTGGTGAGTGTGGACATTTCGGCACTGCATGCAATGTGGCGAGTGGCGACATTTAGGCCCTGCATGCAATGTGGTGAGTGTCTACATTTCGGCACTGCATGCAATGTGGTGAGTGTGGACATTTCGGCCCTGCATGCGATGTGGTGAGTGTCTACATTTCGGCACTGCATGTCATGTGGTAAGTGTGGACATTTCGGCCCTGCATGCAATGTGGTGAGTGTCTACATTTCGGCTCTGCATGCAATGTGGTGAGTGTCTACATTTAGGCACTGCATGCAATGTGGTGAGTGTCTACATTTCGGCACCGCATGTATACAACAGGATGAAACCTTCCAAATATAAGATAAGCATTATTTTCTTGCCCGTTGTCAGAAATGATCTAGGGCCTATTTTAGTAGATGACGGACTGACAAGGTTAAATCCATTTATAGAAAACTACTTCTTTATTTTGCTGTAATAGCGCCACGTTTCGGTACAGACCCTTAAATGTCGCTGTTGCACAACATAATGACGTTATTATCCACAAAATATGACAACTTTGTAAGAAAAATATCGCCATAATCAGTCACGTGGAAAACCAACAAAAGGTATAAAGGGGGATCCCTTCGATATCCTTTCATCCCGCACTTCTCCCGCAACTGTGTCCGATCTGATCTGTAGTGAAATTGTAAGTACGGTTTTAACATGTTCAACCATTAGTATATCTTCGTAAACCATTATTCTACCATGAATTTGGAATTTACTCGATTCTGATTGGTCAATCAGAGGCTATTAAATCACAATAAACCCCCTCTGATTTAAACAGCTGGTTTGACAGCCGCATCACCGCGGAAGCTAATATTCATAGAATAGTACTATTTTCAGTCATTGTCGGTAGGCATATTTAAATAATTATATCTACAATTACAGGTTACAAAATGCACAGATGCAGTTACTATAATATTCAAAGGATGTGTGGCAATACAATATCGTGCAGAAAAACACGACAGAAACCAACAAAGGGAATGTATTTACATTTTGGAGACAACAGAGAGCTTGGAATTTTGGCGATTTTCTATATACGACTGTGATGTTATATCTTTCGCGTCACAATGAGCGATATGACGTCATAATGGTGACGTGCGATGTGGTGCGAAAGCCTTGAAAAGCTTGCTTTGTTTTCTTTAGGGATGCCCACCTCATGTTAGCTTACCAAGTTGCCGTGCTTATATGCTTTAAATGCCTTGTCATATGTTCGAGTGAAGTATTACGGTGTAAACAAACTGCTTGAGTATATACAGCACCATATTTTGTTCGGCGATTCCGTAATTCAGATCGTTAACCCACTCAAAACACTGAACTTAACCCGTGCCGCTTCACTCAGTATATTTGCTAACACCAAAGAGTTCGCGTTTTATTTAGTCATGGTAGAATGGAGATAAACATGCGCGTTCGGTTCCAAATTCAATTTAGCGGGGTTAAATCTACAGGTAACCTAGCTATACATTGAAAACACAGTATGTTTATCTCCTAAGTAAACCTTAGTAGAGCATTATCAAATCTTAGTAAAGCATTAGTAAGTATTGCATTTTTGTTACGCTAACCATACGCACTGACAGTGTTATCAGTTGAACAGGACATGCTCAGCCGAACACGTGCTGCCCTCACTGTTAGTAGGCGATGATTAGAGAGTGAATGAGTGAGTTAGGTTTAACGCGTGTCTTAGTACGCGAGGAAAGTGATGCAGGTCTCAGATGTTTAGCACTTTGGTGAAACCGAAGAGCACGGGTATGGGGCTGACAAACCTAGAAACATAATCGGGGCGAACTGGTATTCGAAACCGCAATCATGGGTTTCTGTTGTGCCCAAGGGACTTCGCTCAGTACAGCGAACTGCGAATTATCCATAAGCCAATCTTGTCTGCATTGACAGTAGACATCCTCCGTGTTCTAGTGGACGGAGCGTCCGGTGGGAGATCGGAAGGTCGGTAGTTCGATCCCTTGAGCGGGTCTTACCCAAGAAAGATGGTTCTTGTTAAAAGATGGTAGTTGTAGTTAACCTGCCTGGCCCTCGTCATTCAGGGGACAAAATGATAGTGGTCAACTCGGAGTCAGTATACTGTGACTGAGTTGGGTAATCAATCTGAAAATGCAGTATGGTATCTCAGTGTGCTAGAACTATAACACCAGCATTAGTCCGGATTATCACAAGCACACCACACCCTTCCACACACGCACACGTGCATGCACATCGCTTTATAAGTGCAATAAGCTTGAACGCGACATCTCACTGAGGCTGACTTATATCATTATGGATTTCAATTTCTTTAATTAGTCTTCCCATGCAAAGTAACGAAATGTCGCATAGCAAGAAACAAGAAGTCAATGCAATGATTCCAGATTGTCGATATCTATGAATTTGTCAGGTCCGTGTTTTGGCACTCGTGTCTGAGAGATGCGAGTACGGGGATACTTCAAATAGTAGTGTCTGTGTTTACTGTTATAAGGGGCGGTGGGGTAGTCTAGTGGTTAAAGCGTACGCTCGTCACGCCGAAGGCCTGGGTTCGATTCCCCACATGGGTACAATATGTGAAGCCTATTTCTGGTGTCCCCCGAATTGATATTGCTGGAATATTTCTAAAAGCGGCGAAAAGCCATAGTCTCACTTACTGCAATAAACTAGCATGCAGGATGAAGGAATCTAATTATACGTGATTAAATGTAAACGATGTCTTTAATATAAGTCATTCATGTTGTTTGTCACTTGTTTGTCAATTAAATCATGGCAATGAGAGGTAGTGGGGGTTTGATGGCAAGTCTTAACAAGATTTTATCAGCACATGAATGACATTGAAGAGTCTTTCTTACTTCACAGCTATTTGAACAGCAGACATGAAGTTCGCCGTATTTCTCGTTGTCTTGGCATGTGTTTGCGCTGTCGCCCTAAGCGCTCCTCCTAAAAGGAGGTGCAGACGCGAAGGTGAGAACGGCAACGGCAATGGCAACGGTGAGAACGGCGATGACAATGGCAACGGTGAGAACGGCAATGGCAATGGCAACGGTGAGAACGGCAATGGCAACGGTGACAACGGCAATGGAGAATGTGACGAAGGGAACAATGATGACAAATATGATGACTCGAACGACAACGGTAACGGCAATGGCAACGGTAAAGACAACGGAAATGGCAACGGCAATGGCAACGGCAATGACAACGGTAACGGCAATGGCAACGGCAACGGTAACGGCAATGACAACGGTTACGACAACGGTAACGGCAACGGTAAAGACAACGGTAACGGCAATGGCAACGGGAACGGCAACGGTTACGACAACGGTAACGGTAATGGCAACGGTAAAGACAACGGTAACGGCAATGGCAACGGTAAAGACAACGGTAACGGCAATGGCAAATGTAAAGACAACGGTAATGGCAACGGTAAAGACAACGGTAACGGCAATAGCAATGGTAACGGCAATGGCAACGGTAACGGCAATGGCAACGGTAGAGACAACGGCAATGGCAATGGCAATGGCAACGGGAACGGCAACGGTTACGACAACGGTAACGGCAATGGCAACGGTAAAGACAACGGTAACGGCAATGGCAACGGTAACGGCAATGGCAACGGTAAAGACAACGGCAATGGCAACGGTTACGACAACGGTAACGGGAATGGCAACGGTAAAGACAACGGTAACGGCAATGGTAACGGCAATGGCAACGGTAGAGACAACGGCAATGGCAATGGCAATGGCAACGGGAACGGCAACGGTTACGACAACGGTAACGGCAATGGCAACGGTAAAGACAACGGTAACGGCAATGGCAACGGTAACGGCAATGGCAACGGTAAAGACAACGGCAATGGCAACGGTTACGACAACGGTAACGGGAATGGCAACGGTAAAGACAACGGTAACGGCAATGGTAACGGCAATGGCAACGGTAGAGACAACGGCAATGGCAATGGCAACGGGAACGGCAACGGTTACGACAACGGTAACGGCAATGGCAACGGTAAAGACAACGGTAACGGCAATGGCAACGGTAACGGCAATGGCAACGGTAAAGACAACGGTAACGGCAATGGTAACGGCAATGGCAACGGTAGAGACAACGGCAATGGCAATGGCAACGGGAACGGCAACGGTTACGACAACGGTAACGGCAATGGCAACGGTAAAGACAACGGTAACGGCAATGGCAACGGTAACGGCAATGGCAACGGTAAAGACAACGGCAATGGCAACGGTTACGACAACGGTAACGGGAATGGCAACGGTAAAGACAACGGTAACGGCAATGGTAACGGCAATGGCAACGGTAGAGACAACGGCAATGGCAATGGCAACGGGAACGGCAACGGTTACGACAACGGTAACGGCAATGGCAACGGTAAAGACAACGGTAACGGCAATGGCAACGGTAACGGCAATGGCAACGGTAAAGACAACGGTAACGGCAATGGTAACGGCAATGGCAACGGTAGAGACAACGGCAATGGCAATGGCAACGGGAACGGCAACGGTTACGACAACGGTAACGGCAATGGCAACGGTAAAGACAACGGTAACGGCAATGGCAACGGTAACGGCAATGGCAACGGTAAAGACAACGGCAATGGCAACGGTTACGACAACGGTAACGGGAATGGCAACGGTAAAGACAACGGTAACGGCAATGGTAACGGCAATGGCAACGGTAGAGACAACGGCAATGGCAATGGCAATGGCAACGGTAACGGCAATGGCAACGGTAAAGACAACGGCAATGGCAACGGTTACGACAACGGTAACGGCAATGGCAACGGTAAAGACAACGGTAACGGCAATGGCAACGGTAACGGCAATGGCAACGGTAAAGACAACGGCAATGGCAACGGTTACGACAACGGTAACGGCAATGGCAACGGTAAAGACAACGGTAACGGCAAAGGCAACGGTAACGGCAATGGCAACGGTTACGACAACGGTAACGGCAATGGCAACGGTTACGACAACGGTAACGGCAATGGCAATGGCAATGGCAATGACAACGGTAATGGCAATGGCAACGGTAACGGCAACGGCAACGGTTACGACAACGGTAACGGCAATGGCAACGGTAACGGTAATGGCAACGGTTACGACAAAGGTAACGGCAATGGCAATGGCAATGACAACGGTAACGGCAATGGCAACGGCAACGGCAACGGCAACGGTAACGGCAATGGCAATGGCGGCGGGTAACGGCTAAATTAACTGAGGTCGAACAGATGCTCTTCCAGCGCATCTGTCTAAATGTAAGTTATATGAATGTGACATACACTTTGAGTTAACTGTTTTTGTTCGACAAAACTTTTCCATAAACTTGAATTTATATTTCCTACCTTTGAAATGACATGCCGGCAAAGCAGCAATTTATATTTAAATAAGCATATGCATGGATGCATTGAACACATGCACAATTCACACCACTGGGTATATGGGCAACATTGATTCTTGTCATGTCGGTTCGAAAGGCTAAATTGTACTGGTACATGTGATGGTACAAAGTGGTCAGAGCATGTACCATTATGCAATCAGCATCCATTATCCATTATCTCAACTCCTATACCTGTTGGGGATGTTGCAAACATAACGAACTGACCAGTCCTCTATGAAAACTTTTTTGCAACAATGTATTTTTTGTCAACAGTCTGAAGCA